TTTTTTTTGAGAAGTTTTAATGTTTGTTTGTTAGATTGTTCAGATTCATCCACCTTTTCACCTTTATTTTTTAAGGAAATTTATCCGCCTAAACTCGAAGAGTTTGTAGCTTACACCGATGGCGCGTGTACCGAAAGTGATGTGAGTAACTTCTATTCAGTTTTTCAAAGGTGTCATGTTATACTCGACTATGACGTCACAATGTTCAGGTGCGAACTTTTGAAATAATAATGCTCAAAGAGCTACATTGGTCACTGTCCCCACTGACGTCCATACACTGGCTCAGCATGTATATGCAGTTTTTGGGGAATAAAGAGGTAAGGCTAAGCTTTCTCCTTCAAATAATTCATATAAAAATAATTTCCTCACTTGTATTTTATATTTAGGCTGTGAAGAATGATGGAGATAAACACGTAGTTGACCAGCCATTCATAGTTCCAGATACACTCAGAGAGGACTTCATGAATATGGCTAGGGTACGATTGATCAAATTTCTATACTTTTAGGAGTTTTAGAAGTTCCATTTCAGGTACTCGACTTAGTTCTCCTAGATGTCGAGTCGCTAAAGTATTCTTATCGTCAACTTGCTGCTGCAGTTCTTTTCGCTTGCTATGAACCTCACTCGCTTGTGCAAGAGGTGACAGGTTTGTAGCACCAGTCATTCTAGTACTTCCACTCTTTCAACGCCCTCACGTCATTTTGCGGTAGTTCGGATAATACCTCGTTAGTGCAAGCGAACTCGCTTTTGTATGGTGAACAATGGCATCATCTGTATGGCTTTGCGGGAAAACGAAGCGTTTTCCATTTCAAATACCGTATGATTGCTCATATGTTGTCGGGATTGTAATGCTGGAAGTGCAAATTACTTGACAACTTTTTTCGAGATAAGTCAAAGGTCTTTATTTTTACATATTCCTGTATTATTGATATGATGTTCAAGAATGTAAGTTCATTTGAACTACAATTAGCGCCTTCCTAAGATCCTATTTTGAATCAGTGCTGGTGAACGATTCCTTCCGTTTGATAACAAGAGAGTGGTATGAGAGTACGCGTGTAGAGTTCTGTTGAGCTGCCTCAGCGTGTGATGACTATATTCAGACTTTTGTAGCATCGACGTACATCTTGAGGTTTGAATGTCCTGCTGAAGATGGCTTTCTACTATTAGATGTCTGTAAAAGCTAGGGACTTTAGCGAAAAAGACATTCTCAGCTAAGGCGTAAAAGCCAAGGTTTAGTAAAAGACCCCTAAAGTTCTTTTAGATTTTCACGATCAGTTAGGATGTACAACAGTCACTCATTTTTGAAGGCACTGTCCACCCAATATGAGATTAGTGAGATGGCATTGTGTGAAAGCGGAGTTTTCAAGGTATCGCTCAAGTCCCGCTGCAAAAGATGTATTCCGAAGCGAGAAAAACGCTCCAGAAGGTAGAAGCGGCCCAGGTGGGTCCGCCCATCAACGGGATGGTCCGAAGATAAGAGTCCATCGGGCGTTGGTGTATCTAGAGTTGTCATAAACTTCATTGTGACTGTCACTTTTGCAACGTATATCTTCACTTGAAGGCAGTGGACAGGCAAATTGGACCCTTCTCAGATTTTGGCGAAGGTATTAGACCTTCCAAGTACACCATGCGCTAAGTCTTGAAAAATGCGCTTCAAAACTCCAC